CAACTTTATTTCCAGTAAAAGAAAGCTGTTTTTTTTTTTCATAGAGGGATGATTCATAAAGGGAACTATAGATCTCGTCTCACTGAATGACTTTAAACTAATAGTATACATTTTAAACTCAAATATTTGGATTTTATCTGACGGTTTCTCTTATTCACTTGTCTTTCATCTTGTAAGATTTAAAATTTTGTCTTTCATGGTTAAATAAATGTTAGATTAAAAAAAAGTCAGTGCTTGATTTGGAGAACTAGAGTTTATTTACATGCACTAACAGTTAATCTTGGAGGGGCCGGGTCATAAATGAATTGCTGTCATTTTAAAACTCAATAATTTCACAGTGATTCACATGAACATGGTTTCATAAACATTTACAGCACAATCAATTTCACATTGCATGGTCAATCTTGCAGACTGTGTTATATGAACCTGACAGCAGTGGATTTGTTTTATGGGGGCTCATAGACATCAATTCAACAATCAGGTCAAAAGTAAACTCTGTTTTTCCAAACTGAAATCCTTCAAAATGTTATTTACAACAAGCAAGATACTAACTATTCATAAACTTTAAACAAAACCTTTCTCACTTTAAAATATCTGAACTGTCAATTTAAATGGTGTAGAATTAGGAGATTAAAACAAAACACAAGGAGCAGTGATCATCATCTCAACACAACCTGAGAACATTTGTTATACATGCCAGAGATTTGGACAAAAATAAGTTATTTCACCTTCAGACATCACTTTGAGAATTGTTTCAAAATGAATTATGATGGATGTATTTTTATTTTTATTTTCTTTGGACTAAACGGTACATGGTCCTCTGGACAGATAAACAATAAATCTTTTGATAGAAACAAAAGAATAAGATATGTGATTTTTGAAAGGCAATGTGTTATCATATCTGGGGAGTGGTGGCGCAGAAGTTAGAGAAGGCGGGCCTGTGTCGGAAGATCACTAGTTCAACTCCCGGTACTGACAACATCAAAATGTGCATAGAAAAGGTGAAACACCATATAAAGCCAACTCTCCTGCTTACTGGAGAAACTGTGGAAATAAAAGTGCAAATCATTACCATATGTTTTGGGACTGTCAAGTAACTGGAACTTATTGGAAGGAGATACATAAAGCAATGCAAGATATTATTGGACGTCAACTGCCTCTAGAAAGTAAAGTTTTGTTTTGTGGACTCAAGCCTGAAGGATGGCCAAAGATAGATAGATATTTGTTTAATATTTGATTTGTGGCATGTAAAAAAGCCCTCACAAAAAAATGTCTTTCACTGGAGAGCCCAACATTGAACATATGGATGGACATCACAACGAACATATGCAGAATGGAGAGAATAACTGCAGAAGTAGACAACGAAAAGGACCCATTTATTTTACGCTGGAAGAAATGGACAGTTTATATAAAATCACGTAGACCAGGTCTAGATCTAGACTCCGCTCCACAGCCATCCTTGTGCACAGTCTTGTGACTTCCTGGATTGACTACTGCAACTCCCTTCTTTATGGCCTCCCCAACAAATCTCTCCAGAAGCTACAATTGGTCCAGAACTCAGCTGCCCGTGTCATCACTCAAACCTCCTCCTATAATCACATCACTCCTGTCCTGCAGCAGCTCCACTGGCTCCCAGTTAAATCGCTCATCGTCTTCAAAAATTCTTCTTCTCACTTTCAAAGCTATCCATAATCTTGCCCCTCCGTACCTATCTGACCTCCTACACATCTCCATCCCCTCTCGCTCTCTCAGATCTTTGCTACACCTCCATGTACCCTCTGCCCGCCTCTCCACCATGGGGAGCAGGGCCTTCACCTGCTCTACCCCTCACCTCTGGAACTCTCTACCCCCAGAGCTAAGAAACACCACCTGCTCTGAAAACACATCTCTTTAGACTCGCTTATCTTTAACTTTGCTGTATGTATTTTATATTCTTTATGAATTTTATATTCTTTATGTATTTTATATTATTTATGAATTTTATATTCTTTATGCATTTTATATTCTTTATGTATTTTATATTCTTTATATATTTTATATTCTTTATGAATTTTATCTTCTTTATGAATTTTATATTCTTTATGTATTTTATAATCTTTATGTATTTTATATTCTTTATATATTTTATATTCTTTATATATTTTATATTCTTTATGCATTTATATTTCACTTTATTCCTGTTGATCTTTGCACTGTGCTTGTTGTTTGTTTTTACACAATCTTTCTGACATGTTTCTTGCTGTAAAGTGTCCTTGGGTGTCCTTAAAGGTGCTTTTTAAATAAAATGATGATTATTATTATTATTATTATAGACCTAGTCATTTCTGAACGATATATTGACTGTAACAAAAAACACTTTCACTCCCTTTGTGCTATTTTGTGTGTGTTTTTTTTTGTTACATAAAAAAAAACCATTTGAATTGTTACTCTACTAATAATTAAAGTGGATTTATATGTCAAATACATTTATAAATGTCAATAAAATGTATAAATTAAAAAAGAAAGAAAAGGTGAAACACCCACACCTGCCTCCACCCTCATTTGCCACACTCTGGGCCCTTGAGCAAGGCCCCTAACCCCCACCATCTCCTCCCTGGGCATCCTAGATAGCAGCTCTCTGCTCCACAAAGAGGGCTGTGGTAGCTCAGTGGTCTGTGGTTGCGTCAGGAAGGACGTCCGGCGTAAAAATAATTGCCACGTCTTCATGCGAGTTAATTTGCTGTGGCGACCCCTGAATCAGATGAAAGAAAAACAAAGTATGTTGTCATATCTGAGAATCTAAAGCTGAATGTCGTCCCTACTTTCAAACAAAAACTAATTAGTCTAATTAATGCCACATTATTTTCAAATACAGATAGTTGAATTTTCATCAAATAAACAACCCATTTTCACACTCAAACACGCCGGGTATCGACCCGTAGTGAAACAACTGCCTGTGTTAGGACAGCTATCTCACAGAAAGTGTGCGGTTGTGTGTCTTTCAAGGAAAGACATGAGGATAAGAGGCTGTGTTTTATGGAGGATTAACAAGGATTAGCCTGTCAAACAAAACAATTATCCATTTTATCACATCACCTTTTTCTTTATCAGTACACACAATAGGTCACACACAGGAACACAAAAGAGATGAAACAGAAGGCGTGGTAAGACTGCCCCCGTTTTGTGACCCTTACCGTTCTTGACCTGAAGTGTACATAATTTATTGTTTGATAAAATATGATTGTTTTAAAAACGAACATATATATATATATATATATATATATATATATATATATATATATATA